GGGGGGGGGGGGGGGTGGTGGCTGCTGTCACACATTGATCTGAAGGTGCATTAAAACACACGCATGGCTGGGGTGGATATAGGAAGCACGTGCCTCCCCCCCCAGCTGCCACCCCACATCAATGAATGTGGTCGAGTATGTGGACGCCAAATCAGAACATTTTATGGCCCTACCCTGCCCACCCCAGGCCACCCCTAGCCACTACTGTGTGGAATCAGCACAGATACATTATCTTATTCCTGATTGGAAGGATAGAGTAATTCTTTTAATCACCGATGAGTTATTTCATACTTTCATAAGTCAAGGAGTTCAAAAATAATATTAAAATGTACCACTGTCTTATACACTTGCTAAGAAATAATAGCTGATCTGGTACACCATGTCTGATAGCCAAATCCAGAACAAAAGGAAATGTTCAGATGTGTGATTTATTTACATACTGTTTCTTTGACTTATTATAGCTGCATTATAGCATAGAACATGCCGCTTTAAAAACACTTCCATGTTAGTTGTCAAACATATAGGCTGTTCTTACGCTGTTGCTCATGTTATTACACTTTAAGCCATTCCTACACCCTTCCTCTTATCTACTGAGTAATTCAATATCATTCTTCAAAGATGCGCATGTGTCATGATCATAGTCCAAAGAAGTTGCTGCTGCTTTATGATGTTCTATATAAAAAAAACACACACACAGCTTTTCATATCAGCACGTATAATTAGCCATTAACAAGCAAGATTTCCATTTTACCCCCTCATTTGTTCACAGAGACAGAGGCAGTTGAGCATAATGACTTTGTTACTGAATCCAGTCTGTGCCCATTTGTGGTGAATTTACAGAGTCTGATGAGGGTGGTGGATAATAAAACACGGTATGCTTTCCATTACTGCTGGTAAGAAAACAACTGGAAAAAAACAGGAAATACAACAAAGTTCAGGCAATCAGACCCAGAATCCGTTACTTAAAATGACTAATAGAATACCTGCCCCCCCCGCTCCAGTAATTTATCGTGTAGCAGTGGCTTCAATAAATGCAATATGCCAGAATTTACCGTGATTTAGAGTGAATACAGACTTCTTTTTTTCATTTTCATTTTTTTTTTGTTTACACAGCTGAAAAATTACTGATGAGATACCCCTCAGTAGAACGTTAGTGTCTCTTCAGGGACTTCGCCATGAGAGGCCAGATTGTGGTAGCAGCAGAGGAAATCCATTAGTATCATATGATCTAATTCCAGAATTGTGCGGTTAAAGACAAATTAGTGGAATAACTGGTAGCGTAAACTTCTTGGCGGTCCGGACTCGACCTCTGCTTCTGTTCCCAGAGGATGGACTCCTGGGTTGATCTCAAACTGACACAACATCCCTCTTTATGTGCCACACTATGTGTTCTGCCGTTTAACTGGCCCAGATCTCCAGGCCGCCTCTTGTTCCTGCAGCATGCTATACACTCTGACGACCCACTATGTCATGCAGATCTCGTCCGGCCCCCAGCTTCTTGTTCCTGAGAAGGAAATCCCCTAAACCAGAGAGAAGATTGAGCCCCGGCAGTCATCCCCGTGTCGAGAGGCTCAGGGCGCCGCAGCCACTCAGAGCTTCTCACAGTATGCAACTGTTTTCCACGTGACAACAATAAATCAAAAACAGCCAGACGCCAACTCTTGTTTGCACTGTGACAGTCTTTACTCTGAGAGGGAGTCTTTCATTTTTTTAATCACATGTTGTTCAGAGGCGTCATGCTCTTCTACAACATTTTCTCTCATTTTGTCCATATGAAGGAAGTGTTTCATTCTTGCAGTGTCTGCTTCTACACCGCAAAGGAGGCCAACTGAAATGTGAATCGTGTGTAGAGTGACTCGAAAGTGGCCTTGCATGTTAGCTGCACTGGCTGCCAGAGTACGTCTAGCACGTTGGACTGACGTGTGAACAAACAGGCCAAACAAAAAATGGTGACATGGTGGTAATGAGCAAACAGCAAACAGCTTATTTACAAAACAATCGGCATGCGTTTATCGGCAAATGGATTCCGCCAGTCATTGGGTGTAGCAGCTAATGAATAGCTATTTTTATATTGTTTTAAACAGCACTGACATGCAAAATATATAGATATGATGGATATGAGCCATGATAACCTAAATAGTCAAGCAAACGGTCTGTTGGAGCTTGATGAATGCACAGGAGCATCTCAAGCTGAAGCAGAATTCAGCACGTGAGGTGAACCATGGAAAGACAGACATCTCCACAAAAGCCAAGAGCTGCAGATGGACACTGAGGATCACGTGACTCCATCATGCTGGCAAAGAGTGTTAGAAATAGATCATGCAGAGCACTGCAGGACAAACATGTTAACTGTACAGGAGATCCCAGCTGGGTACCGCTCGCGGTTTTGTTATTTTGAGACGTGTGAATTTGCCGATGGGTAACGCCACAGATGTATGAGGTTGCAAGGATATGTTGTGCAACAGTGCCCCCTAGTGGTTTAAACAAGCATCGTGCAGTCCTTATGAATAATCTCTGCAATGGAGAACCAGCCAGTTAGAAAGGAATATGGAGAAACAGATCGGTTGCAGATAGCTAAAGAAGTTACCAAAGGGTGCTTGCTATCACCATCCATCTTCAAGCTACAAGGAAAGTTAAAGAATAGACTGGAGAGATGAGGCTGTGAGCCTGTGACTAAATGTGAATATCGCAAAGGTTATGACCACAGATTCACCTGCTGCCTTTAGCACTGATGGACAACGTGGGGTTTAAAGGCAGCTTTTGCCTCCTGGGAACATCTACCACAAAAGATCCTGCAGTGAAGAAATACAGACTTTTCTGGGCTGCAATAAAGGATCTACAAAGACAAAAATCTTCAAAAGTACTGACATATCTCTACAAATGAATGGGCAACGAGGAAACAGGGGAGGCCTTTGAACTTTGGTGTGGTCAAAGACGAAAGGAAAATCATGGACTGCAAGGAAAACGAACCACAAAATACGAGTGGATTGTTGATCAAATCAAGCATGAATTTTCATTCGCGACACGCGATGTATTATGAAAAGACACGGTGATGTGCGAAAGATGAAGGGAAATAAGACAATAACCAGCAATCAGATGCCGCTGGGGAGCCTGACGACTGGGACAGAAAACAGACATTTCTGGAAGAATACCATTTAATTGGTCGTCTGGAATCAATACTGACTTGACAGCATCCGATAACAATATCTAATTATAACTAATCTCCTAAAATGACTCTTGTGCCAAAATGACTGCAAAGAAATTGTGCGGAGGATTTGAACTGCGTGTAAAAGACAGAGGATGGAATAAAAAGCCAAAAAGAAAGGCCTAGAAAATCCTAATTTCTGTCTCTCTTCATTTTTTAAAGATTAATGTTAACCGGAAAACATGAAGGAATAGATGTGATATAAAAATTACAATTTAAAATGTGCCCCCTTTCTGAATGAATAATACATAATAGGACATCAGTACTAATGAGATGCATGAAAGCCACTGACCAAATGTTTGGGTAATAAGAGGAGGAAATTGCGCAGTCATTATGACACAGTCATGCGATCCCTTAGTGTAACAAGCTCACCAATCCAACACAATCACAGCTCACCCACTTTCTCTAAAAAACACTCCATCCCTGGGCGTGTGTCTTACCATCGGTCTGCTGTTTGCCGATGCAAAGCCAAGCGTAAAAAGCAAAGGCTTTAATATTCACACGTCACCACATGGTGCTTGACTGTTCGTACCAAATGATTAACTGCCTGTTATCAAACTTCTAAGATTCTTCAGACACATAAGTTGCACAGTGACATAAAAACAATATTTGATGCGTAATTGGTCAGTTTTCTTTATTTAAGCACAAATACAAAATCTGCCAGCCATGCACACATGCTTGCATCCATAACCGCTCATGCAGTGCAGGGCTGTGGTGAGCTTGGGGATTTCCCCAGGATGTACGTGCGATACAAGGCTACCGTCAGACACAGATTAATTGATATTTGTAGTACGACATGAAAAACGTCAGTTAAATGTAAATATTATGGGTTTGTTTTAAACAGAAGAACCTGTCCATTCATTTTCTGTAACCCCATGTCCTATTCAGGGTTATGGGGGATCCAGAGCTTATGGGCACAAGGCAGGGAACAACCCAGGATGGGGCACCAACCCATCACAGGGCACAAGGCAGGGAACAACCCAGGATGGGGTACCATCCCATCACAGGGCACAAGGCAGGGAACAACCCAGGATGGGGCACCAACCCATCACAGGACACAAGGCAGGGAACAACCCAGGATGGGGCACCAACCCATCACAGGGCACAAGGCGGGGAACAACCCAGGATGGGGCACCAACCCATCACAGGGCAGACACACACACACACACACATACGGGCAATTTGGCAACTCAGCATGTTTTTGGACTGTGGGGGGGAACCAGTGTACCTGGAGGAAACCCCACAACAACATGGAGTGAACATGCCAACTCCAGGCACATAGAGACATAGTGGAGACTCGAACCGTAGTACCAGAGATGCGAGGCAACTGCGCTAACCACTGTATCAGAAGAAAATCATATGAAAAGTAAAAATGTAAGGCTTACAATGT